CCAACAATTATATATTGGCTGCACAAGAAACTGATGCAACAAATTGTTTCTTGAATTTATTGGATATGGCTTTGTGCACGATGAACAAGTGGGACAAATGAATGCCATGAGTTCCGTTCATCACCATGAAGTACAGATGTTGTTCAGGACAATGACTGCGAAAAGATAAATGTTTTCTTATGAATAAAATGTTCTGAGGGATAGTAAACAGAGTCGTTTGGTAAACACCCGAATTACAGTTTCAAATCTTACTTCTAAATTTCACTAGGTTTGAAAAGACTTAAATACCCTTGTACTAAATGCTTGTTATGGGCCTAATTTAAAGGCTACAAGCCCACAGTAGAAGCGAGTCTTTTAGACAAAAACAGGTTCAGATTTGGTCTCTCGCTGACGCGAATCAATCACCTACCAGGCAACAACAGAACTAAGAGAGAGAGAGAGAAATGAGATTGTTCGATCCATGGCCTGTGTTCTTCAAGAGGGAATGGAAACGTTGCTGGCCATTCCTCACCGGTTTTGCCGTCACCGGCGCTCTCATCACCAAGTTTACCGCCGGTCTCACTGGTAAGTCGTCGGATCTCACTCATCTTCTCTTCAATCATAAACACCAAATTTCTACTCTTGTTTATGGATCGGATTCATCATCGGATCCCACTGTTTTTTTCTTTGTGTATCTTGTCTTGTCTTAATTGTGATTTTCCAAAACCCTAATTTCGGAAAATTTTGTAATAATACGCAGAGGAAGATGCGAAGAATTCTAAGTTCGTCCAGCAACACAGAAGGTAAAAATGCCAAAACTCACCTGGATAAATGGATCGTCCTCGTATTTCGGAAATTTTCTGTGTTCAAATGATGAGTTTATCTTCGAGCATTTAGAAACTGAATGATGCTTAGGTTATATTGTTGTATAAATGGTAGCATTTGCGTATTTAACTTGATGTATTTCAATTGCATTATGCTGTTATCCAAATCAAGTTACTAAGCGCAAAATTTTATTAGCTAGAGATTCATAATCAAAACATGTGAAGCAATGTATATTTAGGGACATGAATCTCAATTTTGATTTCATTATGTTGTTGTTGCGTGTATTCGCTAAGAAATACAATAGGCA